CAACCTTAATGGTTCTACAATTGTATGAAACCAAGAGTTTTGGTGTTCTGGACACACCAGAAGGAACTCAACTTCTGTGCTCCAAGGAAGAAGCATTCCTTGCTGTTTCCTGCTGTTATTAATGCAATGCTCTAGGGCAAACAGAACGTTTCATTGAACAGATCTTATCTGGTTATGGGGAAAGAATGATATTGCCTCACATGCATCTGTTGTGCTGTTCCCAGATAATAGTAGAGCAGCATAAACAAAGTGCACTAAACATTTTTTTTATGAATAAACAGGAAAAAACAGTATGAAGCTGCCACGTCAGAGCACACGGATGACCCACCATAGCTACGTGGTCTGTTCTGTTTGCACAAAAAGTTTGGAACAGCTGGGATGGACGTGCCTGTCCTGGAGCTCATTTGTGCCACTGGAAAAGGGTTGGTGGAGAAAGCAAAAAAAAAATAGAGCTAAAATCAAAGCCTTCATTTCCAGCCATGGGGAAGTGCCACAGGATCAGCCCAGGAACACAAAACAAACCTAACACGAATGCAGAGCTCACATTTCCAAGGCTTGTTTGCTCCTCTGAGAAGTAAATCTGCAATAAACTTACCTCTACATCCTGCTTGTTAGCCAAGACCAGGATGGGAACCCCCTCCAGAGCTTCACTGGTGATCATCTTCTCTGCAAGGCACAGAAACAAAAGCAGAGCTTTAGGCAGGTCTGGAAGATAAAAGTTCCACACGTGCCTGACAGGAACAGTCAGGACAGAGGGATGCAGCAGGAAGCTCCTCCTGGCATTTCAGCTTCATTTGATACAACTTTTCTATTGTCTTCATAGAATTCTTTTCCAGATCAAACTCCAAACTTTAATTCTATCAACAAGCCCATGACTGAGAACGAATGAGATGATAAATACAGGGATAAAAACTTCAAGACCATGAGCATAAGCACAAAAAGAGATTCCAGGTTATTACAGGCAATAAAAGTGAGTCCTGTGTTACAGACAAGACAGATTTGAACAAAAAACAGTTGCCAAAGCCCTACAGATGGGTCATCAGAGCTTACTTCAAGGGCAGGGGAACAGACACAACAGCAATGAGAGAACTGTGCCCCAATCCACCAGGAGATCCCAGCCCAGCCACACACCACAGACTCACCAAAAGCTCTTTTAGACTCCGAGAGCCTCTCCTCATCAGTGGAGTCAATAACATAGATGACTCCATGAGACTCAGCATAGTACTGAAAGGAAAACACAAACAGCAGTGTCTGAGCTGCCACCACCAGTGGGCTCTCTTCCTGATTGGGTTTTTTGCTTAATTTGGTAAAATTTTGATACACATGGAAAAGATCAACCAGTCAGAGCCAGCTGCTTCCACAGCACCTCTTCTCTTGCCACATTCTTTTCTTCTGGAGAGAAGAAGGACAGCACAGAGTGCACTGTTTCTGTCTGCCAGCCTGCTGATCACAACAGGGGCAAAAGCTTCTCTGTTCCCCCAAAAAAACTTATCTGTTCCCCCCAAAAAAGCTTCTCTGTTCCCCCCAAAAAAGCTTATTTCTACTGGCACCACCCTCAGATATGGGTCAGTAATTGCTGTCTGTAAAGAACAGCACAAATATTAAGCATGACTTTTCCAAATCTTGCCCAGATAAAGTTGAATCTCTGGGAAAGTGTCACTGCTGAGTGTTTGGTTACCAAGAAGCCTGGATGGTTCCTAACTGATCACGCTGCTTCAATTCTGAAAGAGCCCAAAACATTTCTAAAAGGCAAAAAAAACCCATCTCCAACCTTGTCCCAGAGAGACTGCAGCTCCTCCTGTCCTCCCAGATCCCAGAACATGAGCCGAGCTTTGCCAACATCAATAGTACCAACTGGAGGGAAAGGAGAGAGACAAACCAGTGAAAACTGACAGTGTTCTCTAAAGCTTCATCACCTGCACACCCCCCTAAGGAACCTGGGGTAGAAGAGTCTAGTTCTAGAGGAACACAACCTACAGAGGGGCTGCTTTCAGCTGCACAACAACACCTTTGCCAGGAGTGACCACTAACAGCAGCCAGACTTGTATCAGTGCAAGAAACAGCAGGATCAGGCCAGCAAAGGAGCTCTGGTGAAACTTGGCTTAGCCTCTGAGAAGCAGCTGTTGTCTAAGTGTGCAGGAAAGCTGACCAAAAAATTCCCAAACACTTTACTCACTGTTTAATCCCACAGTGGTTGTGATTTTGGACAAACTCATCCCTTTGTAGTTCTTGTTGAATCGGGTTTTAGTTTGTTCAAGGAAGGTCTGAAAAGGAACAAGAACAAGTATTTACTCTCAAAAATTGTCCTGGCTCATTCTAACCCAAAGCTGCTTTTTCCTTTCTGCAGAACCCTGCTCCAACAGATCCTCCTGCTCCCTATTTTAGCCAGGAGAGAAGGGATCACAGGTGATTACTGGATTACCAGACCCTCAGCTACATCCCTGAGAGCTCATGCTAGAGTGAAGTAAATTTAAGTCGATTCTTTGGTGTGACACCCCTAAAATAACTCCCAATACAGCTGAGGAAAGACTGACCTGGCTGGGGGAGTGTTTAGAACCACGTGTGTTCTCCACACCTGGGGAACAAAGAGCACTCACAGTTTTACCAGCATTGTCCAAGCCAAGGATCAGGACACAGTACTCGTCCCTCTGGAAGATGTATTTGTAGAGCCCAGACAGCAGAGTGTACATCCTGCCCCTGCAACAAGCACCAGGGAGCCATCAACAAACACCTCGTCCCCAAAAGCTGTCCCACAACACAACTTTTGCCCAATCCCAGAGAAATAAGTGACCTTCTTTCATCAATAACGCCCATATTTAGGCAATCACTTCCCTCAAATCCACCCTGTCTGCTTTGGGGATTAAAGGAGAGGCAAAGAAGAGCTTGAATATCTTCTGCAGTCCACCAAGGCCCACAGGAAATGAAGCCAACTTCATACAAATGCACAGAATGGGTATTTTGAGCAAGAATGTTACAGCTCAGTCCCCCCCTGCTCATAACAGGATCCCAGGATCTTTAATGATTGAACTGAGTGTACCTTAAAAGCACACAACCCCTCACAATTATTTGCATTTAAGCCTTACCCAGCAAAAATATTCTCCTGTGGTACCCACTGGGCAAGTATTTTGTCATCTTGCAATGCCACGAAGTTAAGACAGGGAGGTGAAGAAGCCAAAAGCACAACACCAAGGCTCAGACAGAGCGACACGGAGAGCAGCAGAAGCCCAGGCAGGCTCCGTTGGGATGTGCACAAACAAGGCAGGCAGGGTTTGCTAAGACGTGGGAAGTGCTGGTACCCAGGGCTGCAGCTGACTCACGGGACGTTGCAACAACTCTTGTTTAAATACGGACAAAGGGAGCCTCAAGGCTAAGACTTTATGAGGCAACTGTCTCTGAGCAAGCGCGCAGATAAATAATCACCCCCAAGTGCGGCGCTCTGCCAAAAGAGGCGGGGGGAAAGCGTCCCAGCCGGGCAGGAAGGGGTTCCCCGGGCCGGGGCACTCCGTGTGAGCACAGGGCACCTCGGGATCCTTCCCCTCCAGCCGGGCTCACGCCGCGCCGGGAAGGCGCCGAGGCGAGGCCAGACACCGTCCCGCTGCCCCACACTGAGGGGGACCCCGCCCGCTCCCCCTGCGCAGGCGGGA